AATACATAGTACAGTCATCTCAGCACACAGGAATACATAGCCTACAGTCATCTCTGCACACAGGAATACATAGTACAGTCATCTCAGCACACAGGAATACATAGTACAGTCATCTCAGCACACAGGAATACATAGCCTATAGGCACTTTGTATTTGTGAAGCACAGCACCTGCATTCCACAGCCCAGTCCTTCACTCTCTTTGGGAAGAGAGGAGGAGCAAGTGCCAGGTCCAGGACGTCTCATTTCATCACAGCAACTCCTCCCTTCCTCCCAGGGTATTACCTATTGCTGATGTTAATCCCCTTCTCCCTCATGGCGTAGAGGAGCACAGCTATGCAGTATAAGGTCTCGGTGACATCTGGCATGGTCACTGTGGACCTGGGTCTCCTGAGGCAGAAGAGCAGACACTGGATATCATTCACGCAACTGGAGAGGAGCACCATGGCTGTCACCAAGGCCCAGACGTTAACGCCCTGTGAAGAGGACAGCAGGATGGGAGGAGAGACCCAGGCCCAGCCACAATCAGAAGACTCATACCAGAAAACTAGTGAGGAAAGTCGAGCCTCAGACTCTCCTGCCAGCTAAGGGCCGCCTGAAATGAGCCCAGACTGATTAAGCATTAACTACGAACTGGCTGAGATCCTGGATGCCTTTAATTAAACATTTACAACGTGGAACTTTGCATAGAGGTGACACTCCAAAAATGTGAGCTCCCTCTCATTTACCCATCCCTCCTCTCCAGGCTAGGGTGAGCTCAAGACCTCAGCAGAGTCAAAACAGCATAACTAGCTAATGGGTGCCTACCTGGAGACACCAAAGACGGAGAGACAAAGGAAGACTTCAATCTTTAGGTGCTGAGGATCATCAAGACTGTCAATTCCCTACAATTATAATGTAAGTTTACTTTTTTCTTATTTAATAGTTGTTAAATATTGTTATATAAGTATGATGTTATTTAAAATGTATTTTGTGAAACTATTCACTAACAAAGTCAATAAGGGATATCCATTTTTTTCATTCTTCTCTCTCTCTCTCTCTCTCTCTCTCTCTCTCTCTCTAGTGTTAAAAGACTGAACTCAGGGACTCACTTGCTATGTAAGCACTCTCCCAGTGAGCTCAACCCCAGCACTTATCATTCTTACATAACTGTTAAAGACTGCACTCCAAGGCGGGCATGGTAGCACACACCTTTAATCCCAGGAGGCTGAGGCAGGTGGATCTCTGTGAGTTCAAGGCCAGCCTGGTATATATGGTAAATTCCAAGGCAGCCAAGGCTACATAGTGAGAGCGTGTCTCAAAAAAAATAAGAATAATGCACTCCAGGAAAGAAAAGTTTCATGCCCTTCTTGGCACAACCATCTGTGAAAAGAACACACTCTACCACCTGCAGCAGAAATTCCACTCAAGGCAGAAAGTAAAATGCAGAAGCCAGATTCAACCCTCTGGCTAACATGATACAGATAAAGGCAGCCTGCAGCCCCCAACACAAAGCACCAAAACCCCTTTGTGAAGAGAAGCACGAAGATGGAGAACTGGAAACCTGATGGCCACTTCCAGCTTTGACTTTACTGTATCTGTAGAAAGACCTTTCCCCTCCTCCCCTTCAAGTTATCCAATCTATCACAAGGACAGGGCCATCTCATTAAATAGATCCTACACTGAAAGTGTTCTGAGGCTAGATAACTAGCTTTCAGGAATACTTCAGAGGATGCCACAACAGAATGGACTAAATGTTTCTTGAAGTTCCTTCCAAATCCAAGAATTAACAAGATATGGTCTCTTATTTCCCCAGAGACCACTAAGAAGATTAATGTGTCATGCTACTCAGATACTCAACGTAAATTTTAAAATAATCTTCAGCTACTCTTAATCACCAATACACTTTTCTTTCAGTGAGAAAGGGTGTCGCCACCCCATGGTCCCCCACAGTTTCTTAATCACATACCCCAGCAGCTGCGTAGAGGTCAGGTAGATGTTGTCGCACACAGGCCTCGGCCTCAGGAAGCAGAGGATGATCCCTCAGGCTCCACAGCACCCTCTCGGGGTCTACACTTGGGGAGCATTTGGTGGAGGCTGTGTATCTGTACAGCGTCAGGAAGACAACAGTGAGTAAGTTTGTGTGAGAAGCACTCAAAAACTGACTCCCAAACGGGAGGACAGACTCACCGTATGAGGTTTAGCACACACAAGTCGGACTCCTTTTCTATGCCGTGACTCAGGAGGATGCCGTCAACTTTGCTAACAGCTTGTTCTTCGTTGATCAAGTATCGATGGTACAGCTTTTTCCAAGGAATGAACTATGCAGTTGAAAAACAAAATAAAATAACATACAAGTCATGACTCTTAGGAAGCAGACTGGGTCACCAACAGGGAAAACCCACCAATGAAAGGCAAGCAGAGGAGAGAAGTGGAAGCTGAGCTGAGCAGGAGTTACACATGACTGGGCTGAACTAGCCAACGGGGCCTTGGTCTTGGTTCTCACACAGAACGTGGGAAAGCTAGGGCTTCAGCTTCGTTATCTAAAACATCAGGACAGCAGCAGCTCAAAGTTCCAGGGACGGTCCAGTAGTAATGCTATGGCTGTACTATTAGACTGTAAGTCAGAAACTGTTACATGACACAAAGAAAGACATTATGTAATGACCATGTTATACAATGAGGTTTTCACCAGGAAGATACAATCAGGTAAAGAAACAGTAAGACCAAACTCCCAGACATACAGAGGATCGGATGCCCACTTCTGACCTGCACTGACAGCTGGAGGAAGGAGTCAATGGCAAGCCTACCTGAGCCTGACTGACCCATAGAGAATGCGCCACCTAACAGCCACTGCATAGGCACTCTTTTCAAGTAACATCATTCTCCAAGAAAGACCACGCAACAGGTCACAAACCAATCAATTAAAACAGCTTGTTGGGGCTGGAGAGATGGTTCAGCGGTTAAGAACACTGATTGTTCTTGCCGAAGACCCGGGTTCAAATCCCAGCACCACATGGCAGCTAACAACTATCTGTAACTCCAGTTCCAGGGGCTCTGACAGCCTCTTCTGTCCTCGGCAGGGAGATCTCTGTGAGTTCGAGTCCAGCCTGGTCTACATAGCAAGTTCTAGGCCAGCTGAGGCTACAGGGAGACTCTGTCTCAAAAAGTCCAAAAATAATTAAATTAAAAAACAAGCAACAATAAAAGAAAAATTAATTAATTAATTAGGCCACTTTTTAAAAATTTTGTTATTGAGGTGAGGTCTCACCATGTTGCTGAGGCTGGCCTGGTACTTGATATGTGTAAGCCTAAGCTGGCTTCAAACTCATGATCCTCCTGCTTCCACCTCCCCAATGTTCAGATGACAGGCATATATCAATACATCTGCCTAAGCAGTGGACTCTTAGAATAACCAATGGATCTAAGAAGAAGTCACAAAAAAAGTTAGAAAATACTTATGACTAATGAAAATAAAAATACAACATACCAAAACTTATGAGACACAGTGAAAATATTGCTAGTCAGGAAGCTTACGGCTAAAACACTTATATTTAAAACAAAAAGCCAGGCATGGTGGCACATGCCTTTAGTGCCAGCACTTGGGAGGCAGAGGCAGGTAGATCTTTGTGAATTTGAGGCTAGCCTGATCTACACAGTGAGTTCCAGGCCAGCTGGTGCTACAAGGAGACCCTGTCTCAGAAAGACCAAAAAACAGAAGAGTGACTGAAGGCACAGCTCAGTAGCAGAACACAGTTTAGCATGTGCAACACCTGGGTTCAATCCCCAGTCCTGAGAAAACAGGACTGAAATGAGCAAGCTACCCACATACCTCAAAGTCCTAAAAAACAAAGTCCAAAATTAACAAAAGAAAGGAATTACAAAGATTAGAGCAGAGCTGGACACCGCAGTGTACACCTGGAATCCCAGTGCTAGGAGGCTGCTGAAGCGGGAGGATAGAGAGTGTGAAGCTGACCTGGGTACAGAGTAAGAATTCAACCTAAAAGTAACAATAGTAATAATAACCCTCAGGTAGAATTACTAAGAAAACTAACAACTAAAATAAAAAGTCAAAGTACCATTGAAAGCAACACCACAGAAATAAAAGGATTACAAAAACAGCACAAACAACCAGGAACTAAGAAACTGGGTAACTGGAAGAAATGGATACATTCCTAGAAACACTCAACCACGAAGGCTGAAGAATGAAGAAACAAAATCTAAACAGATGATAATGAGTAAAGAGACAGAATGAAAAAATTAAGACTCCCAGCATGGAGAAACCCAGGACCAGATGGCTTCCCTGGGGAATCCTGCACAATGGTTAATGAACAAGCCACACAGGACTTCTCACACTTCCAAAACCTGAAGCGGAGGGAATACTGCCCAACTCCTCTGTGGCAGCACTGCCATGACATGAGAGCCAGACACGACCTACGGGGAGAGCACGTGACAGCTACGACTGATTACTGAAAACCAATCCATCGCATCACTGTTGCAGAAGGGCACTGTTCGAACAGAAGCACCTCCAGGTACTCAGTTCACACCAGAGTTCTCAATTTGGTTGACAGAAATACTATACACAAACTGGGATCCCAGCTGGAAACAGACACTTCTCTGAAAATAGGAACTAGGACCTTCCCCCCGCCCCCCGAAAGCTAAAATGACATGAAATGTCCTCCAAAATCTCAAAGAAAAGTTTAGCTTTCCTGCATCGGCTGGGCAAAGTCAGCTTGTGGTATGTCAGATCCAAACCCGAGGGGGTCTCCAGACCCAGGGCGCTGCAGTTGGAGGTGTCGCTGCCGCCATGGTGCCACAAAATAACACACTGAATTTTACCTTAAATGCTACAGGTATCATTTAGATCACCATAAGAAAAAGAGAAAGAAAAATCAAGAGTGTCATGAACATTCGAAGAAGGAAAAAAAACACTGGTCTGAAGGCTAAGCTCTACCATAAACAGCACTTGTATCAAGACCCATGAAGAAAGAAACATCAAACAAAGAATAAGGAAGATTCCAGGGGGACAACACCACCCTCTCTGCTGGACAGATGACAGTCCTAGTCAAAGTAGTCCAACACGATTAAACAAAAAGCAAAGAGAAGGTAGGCAGGAACATGGGACGTCCCTCTGCCCAAAGTCTACGCACAGGGAGAGACTGAAGTATTAAAAGTTACTCAAACAGGAGAGAGAAAAAAGGAGACATGGAATGCCAGGCACACATCTTTAATCCTAGTGCTCAGGAGGCAGAGGCAGGCGGATCTCTGTAAGACTGAGTCCAGCCTGGTCTACACAGTGAGTTCCAGGGCAGCTGGGGCTACAAAAAGACCCTGTCTCAAAAAGACCAAAAAAAAAAAAAAAAAAAAAAGGCACAGAAAAAGGATGAAGTTGTACTGGACAGCATCAGCTGTCAACTTATAGACAACTGGGAAGGCCTGGAGATGGCAACAGAAGATGGGGAGCTTACTCTAAGTGGGACAAAGGGATTAGAACTCATGGTGAACCAAAGACATGCAGTCTACAATCAAGGCCCAGAATATCATGTATGGAAGAGAGAAAACAGGCAATGTGAGCAGTACAGAAGGACTCCGCAAGAGTAGGATGAGGCCAGCCTCAGGCCCAGGTGCCCTGGAGTAGGCATTCTTCATGACCAGCAAACGGAAACCACCTCTTTGAGGAGGTCCTCCCCTCAGATGTCTGCGCTGAGTGATGTTAACCCATGTACTGATGGGGAACTGAGCACTGAACTCACCAGTGGGTCACTGATTATCTCTCTCCAAAGGTGGCACACCAAGCTGAGGTTCCAGTAGAGGTCTTCCACGGGGAGGAAGGCAAAGATGTGCCTCAGGACTTCGGTGGGCAGGCTACAAATGTGGCTCGGTACTTCTTGGCAAGGCAAGGTTCCAAAAAGCCCATAGTATGAGTCAGGAATAGGGTCAGGACCAATGTCCTCAATGTCTTGGCCAGGTTCTCTAGACTCTGCAGGGCACTGGGACAAACCATCCCCGGCTTCTTGCCTGGCCTCCCTAGACCTCGTGCATGATGGGGACAAAAAATGGCGTGGCATCTTCTTAGCAACTCCATCCCACTGGCTGGTCTCTGTAGCCTCACTACTCTCTTCCTCAAATGACTGAGGGCGCTTCCTGGGGGCTGGAGCAGATCCTGATGAGCCCAACCTCCCTTCTCCATAACCTTCCTGAGGCACAGTGCAGCTGCTCTCAGCAGGAAAGATCATGTCATCCTCAGAGTCCTGACAGCTGTCCTGGCCAACAGAACGGCTTTTGGCCATGTCATTGGTGCACTGCTGGTGGTCAGCTAGGAAGAACTCAGGGTTGTACCTCTGACATCCTCCACCTGCAGAGAGACACCAAAAACAATGGATAAAATATAATCACTGACTGCTGACCCACAGCAGTCCCAAACAAGACCACTTAACAAGGATGTGTCAAGGATGTGTTTATGGGTCAGGTGGTTATACAAATAGCTAATTTAAAATAATCACATGCATATTTAGCCAGAGACGACTGTTGGCACATCAGCCTACATTCTGCCCTGAAAACATATACATATACAAGGTCAGACTGCACAGCAGACACGTGAATGGACAGACAGAAAGGAAATGACTGCTCACACTTGCACATCCACTCACACAGTGCACTTCCCCTGGCTCGCTCCTGCAACAGCAACTCTGCTTAAGCAGAAAGAAACATGCTTTAGGTTCAGAAACATGCTTTATCGGGTTCAGAAATTTCTACTCATTTGGCAGAGTTAAAATCAGTTTATTTTTATTTCCTCCCGTGAAGTTGAAACTTTTTTTTTGGTCTTTTTGAGACAGGGTCTCCCTGTAGGCCCAGCTGGCCTGAAACTCTCTATGTAGACCAGGCTGGCCTCAAACTCACAGAGATTTGCCTGCTTCTGCTTCCCAAGTGCTGGGATTAAAGGTGTGTACCACCACACCCGGCACTTTTTAATTTTTTTTTTTTTAATTTTATGTGCATGAGTGTTCTGCCTGCTTATATGTAAGGCATCCATGTCATGAAATGCCCATGAAGACCAGAAGAGGGCATCAGATCTCCCTGGAACTGGTGTTATGGATGGTTATTAGCCACCATATGGGTGCTGCAAACGTGGGTCCTCTACAAGAGCAGCCAGTACTCTTAAACACTGAGCCATCTATTCAGCCCCAAGCTTACACTTTTAAAATTAAAAGCAGTTAAGAGCACTGGCTGCTCTTGAAGTGGACCCAGGTTCAGTTCTCAACATTCACATGGTGGCTAACAACTATTTGTAACTCCAGTTCCAAGGGATCAAACGTCCTCTTCTGACCTCCTTGAGCATTGCATAACGTGGGTGCACTTACATACAAACAGGCAATACAATCACACACAAAAAATAAAAATAATACAGTATCTTAAAATTGTAAGTTGAACTTTTTCATATTACTGAGTGACACCTAGTCTCGTCTTTACATTTATTCAGTCAGCATTTACTGAGTACATCTAATTCTGAGAGGAATACAACGACAGATTCTCGCCTCACAACTGTTCAGGCAGGTAGGAAACACCAAATGATGGTGATTGCTTGCATTAGCATAGCATTTTCTAAATCCTAAAAATTAATGTAGTAGCCAGGCGTGGTGGTGCACTCCTTTAGTCCCAGCACTCAGGAGGCAGAGGCAAGCAGATCTCTTTGAGTTCAAGGCTAGCCTGCTCTACATAGTGAGTTCCAGGCCAGCTGGGAGACCCTGTCTCAAAATAAATAAATAAATAAATAAATAAATAAATAAATAATATCAACATAACATACATGGTTCCTTTCCAAATGGTGAAACCAAAAGTCTTTCTTTGGAAACAGAATGGACTGAAACCAGAATCAGCCATTATATGAAATCACTACTTCTCCTTGGGGAAAGGGCATCAATTATAAGTGTTTCTAGAACAACAGGATAGAGACCCAGAGTTTGACATCAACAAGGCCTAGCTAAAGCCTGATATTTCCTAAATGTCAAATTCAGTCATACCACTGGTAAAGATCCTACTACACACTCAGCATCGTGTTCAAAGTTGTGACGAATGCACAACACAGGTAACATCCACACAAAGCAGGTTCATTATCAGAATACATTATTAAGTCTGCAACTGCCTCATATAACTGGTTATAGTAGTCCCAGATTTGAGAAATGCATATTTCAACTACACTGGATTCTGAAATTAGAAATATTCTACAACAGGTTTTTTTTTAAGGTTTATTTTTTAATTAATTGGGGGGGTGCAGTATGTGCACATGCATGCTGGTACCCACAGAGATTAGAAGAGGGTGTGGGATCCCCTGAAGCTGGAGTTACAGATAACAGTTGGCCACCCAAACTCTGGTCCTCATGATAGAGCAACAAGTGCTCTTAACTGCTGAGCCACCTCTCCAGCCCCCTGTAATGGGTTCTCAAGAACAGTTGTGACATGATAGAAAATGATCATGGTCACAAATACTAGCTCAATAATGTATGTTCCAGTTGATTTGGAAGAAAAATAAAACCTGGTCAAGGAGAAGGCTTATTTTAGCAGTCCAAATTCTAAGTAGCAAGGGGCACAATCTACATAAAGCACCAGATGAAGTTAGGCTAGTAGTGCAGACCTATAATCCAAGCTACTTAGGAGGCTGAGGCAGGAGGATCACAAGCTCAGGGCTGCCTGAGCGACACAGCGAGTTCAAGGCCAGTCTGGGAAGCTTAGTGAGATCCCCATCACAACATTTTAAAAGGTACAAAGAGGGCTGAGGATGCGGCACACTGATAGAGCGTTTGCCTACAGGAGACCCTGGGTTCAATCCCCGTACCAAAAACCACAAAAAGCCACCACATGAAGGAATATTTTGGAGGAAAAATAATGACCCAGTGGACCTCCTGAGAGATTGTACAGAGACTAATAAAAAGTCAAGAAATCACAATGCTTGTGGATTAGAGCAATAGCGACAAGAGTCTGTGTCTTTTATCACTTTGTAATTAGCATGTAACAGGTTCCCCTGGGCTCTCATTAGGTAGAATTTCCATGGAAAACTTATATAATGAACAAAATGTCAAACTGTTACAACAGGATTAGAAAATCAAAGCAATGACATTTACAAATACTTTCATTGAACTGAGAGACATTCAAAGGCCACAGAGACTACAGATGAAATACATACTGTTTGCAAGACATACCCCTACTTCCTCTTTTTGTTCTGGGTCTAGGATAGAGGCCATGGTTCGGATCTCTGTTCGTCCATCTCCGAATGAAGGGCTGGGTCACGGCCAAATGGCTCTGGGCCAAATGTTGACAGTCAATAGCTGTAAGATGCTTCCGCTTAAACGGTCTCACTGTTTCGTACCAACAAGTAGAAGAAATGAGATACTCATTAGTCACTACCAAATAGATAACCCAGCTATACATTCTCAAGGTTTGGGACTGATTTTGAAGGTCACCCTAACCAGCCTTTCCTTCTTCCTTGTGAAATGACAGGCATTTCAGTGTCTTGGCATGCCTTGCTTCGAATTTATATGGGAGCCGGGCATGGTAGTGTATGCCCGGGATTAAATCCCACAATCCCAGCACTCAGGAGGCAGAGGCAAGCAGATCTCTGTGAGACTGAGGCTAACCTAGTCTACATAGCAAGTTCCAAGCCAGCTGGGTCTACATGAAGACCCTATTTCAAGAAGACCGAAAAAAAAAAAAAAAAAAGGACAGGAAGGATATCAGCTTTCCAATTACAGCCAATTCTGTGGGGCCAGAGATACCTTTAACAACAGCAAGCAACACATGCTAAGAAGAGAGAATCAAATTGTCTCTCCACTTGCAGCTTTGTGAATATACTTTCTGTTACTGAACATTCTATACACTAGATACCAAGTTTTAATCACCATTACAGAAGCAAAAACAAGTAAATTTTTTTCTATAAAAAATTTTGGATTTTTTTCTAGCCGGGCATGGTGGCACACGTCTTTAATCCCAGCACTCAGGAGGCAGAGGCAGGCAGACCTCTGTGAGTTCCAGGACAGCTGGGGCTACAGGGAGACCCTGTCTCAGAAAGACAAAAAAAAAAAAGGATTTTTCTATATTTGGGAATAACAATAAAGGTAAATCCTGATTACTGACATTTAAAAAAGAAGACTCAATGGCTGCTAGTTGGTTCAGCGGTAACACCTTGCTGTACAAGCCTGAGACCCGTAGTTTGAGCCCCAGAACTCACAGAAGAAGCAGAGAACTGACTCCCAAAAGTTGTCTTTTGACCTCCATACATGCTCAATGGTGCGCACCCACCCACCCACATACTTAAGCATACCATATACACCCCCCCAAAAGTAAATTAAATAAAAATTTTAAAAATTAAAAAACAACTTGTTCAACCCCTATGGAAAGCAGTGTGGAGAACTCTTAAAAAACTACAAATGAACCTACCATTTGACCCAGTTATACCACTCCTTGGCATATACCCAAAGAACTCATCCTATTGCAGAGACACCTGTACATCCATGTTTGTTGGGCTCTTTTCACAATAGCTAAGAGATGGAAGCAACCTAAGTGTCCCTCAATTGATGAGTGGATAATGAAAATGTGGTTCATTTATACGATGGAGTTTTACTCAGCAGTAAAGATGAAATCATGAAATCTGCAGGTAAATGGACAGAACTAGAACTCTTATACTAAGTGAAGTAACACAGACCCAGGGGGGAAAAAATAGACATATGTTCTCCCTCATTATGTGGATCCTAGAACCAAACTCTAATAAGTGAGTATGTATCCAGACATAACTATAGGAACCAAGATACTGGAAAGGAAACAGGGGGGTAAAGGAAAAGAAAGAACCTGAAAGAGAAGAACAGTAGGAAACAGGTCTTAATAAGGGAGATGCAGATAAAAATTGGGTTACTTTAAGGGAGTGGGGAGGTAAGGGTATACAAGGAACCTAGAGGATAAAGGGAAAGAAGGAGCTCAAGAGACATAGGACCATAAGAGAAGGGTATTATTAAAGGAGAAAGGGGGGGAATGGGGGCATCTTAAGTGGGAAAAACATGATGGAGGGGTGAGACAATGTGAAAGATAAATAATGCCTAGCTAGTTTTAAAAACCAGAGGGAACCATATTAGTCCAACAACCTGCTGACAAATTATACATAGCAGATCAAAAAATGTATGTCTAGGTAAGGTTTATCTGAGGACAATTGGTCTTTGCCCAAGATTCATCTACACGGCTCACAGTAATTAAAAGTACCAGACTGGTGGAACTAACCTCCTTGGATGTTTAACAGACATACTTTGAGGCCTATACTAATTTTGTCAGAGGGACATAAAGGACAGTTTTTGCTCCTTGCCCTCCTAGGTCGACTAGTTCCAGGGGACTGTGAGCATTTCTCAAAATGTCCTGTAATTGTGGTGGGTCACCTGTCCTCTTGATCAAGGAGGCCGAGGAGACCCCACCAGATGGACTTGAACCAGTGTCCAGTCTACAAAGAGGAGGGTCAACACAGAGGAATCATTTACTCCATTCTTACAAGTGAAGCCAACCATGGTCAAGCAGGGCTTTTGAGACTTATCTTCACATAGGCGGAACTGGTAAAAGAAAGGAGCCAGGGAC